AGACATATGCATATTCTAGTATTATAATTATTATCAAAATAAAATGAACAATATAATGATATTTTACAATCTAAGTTAGTTTACACGTTTGGTTCAAATAACATGATGAATTGACACGCCTAACCGTTAGGATGGGAGTAGCATTACTCATATATAATTTTATTGGTAAGTGTATGATAATAGTAAGTGGTGATAGACATGGCCAAAAATCGGGCCGGGTCATAACCCGGCCTGGCCTGCCGGGCCACCGAGTTGGGTTTCGACGACCCTGAACCGACACGGATCTAGGGTTGGCGGGCCGGGCCGGGATTGGAACCGCACATAAAATATTTTTTTAAAAAAAAAAACAAAAAAATTCAAAAGCAATGTATTTTTTTCGTGTCGACACGGACCCGGCCCGGCCCGCAGGGTCAAGGTCGAAAAAACATGACCCTTGACCGGCCCGTTTGAAATCCGTGCCGGGCCCGGACCCGTGGTCAACGGGTTTGACCGGGCGGGATCAGTGCCGATTCCATGCCGAGTCCGGGCCGAATCGGCAGGTCGGGTGACCCGTGGCCATGTCTAAGTGGTGATGTGAGAATTCTATGTAATTCAATTTTAATTGTATATGTTTTGTAGTGTATAATGATTTTTTTTTTGCCGAATCATGCTACAGTGACATTAAAGATGACATAATAATGTGGGTTATTGTATTGTACTCTTGTTCATTCACACATTTCATTTAGTTTCAAAAGAAATATTACATTTTACCTATTTAACTATCTGAAAATTTGCACTTTGTCTACAAAACTTTTTTTTTTTGTACGTTTTGTCTACCTAACTTTATTATTTTTTTTTTTCACTTTGTCATTTCCAGTCATCAATGGCCTGATAAACCAATATGTGGCTTTTGTGTCTTATTGCCACGTGTGGCCGGTGGTAAAAAAAAATGGCAAATTGTACAGAAAATAAAAGTTAGGTAGGCAAAAGGTAAAAATATAAAAAAAAATTGTACATAAAGTGTAAATTTTCAGATAGTTAGATAGACAAAATGTATTTATTCCAGTTTTAAAATCAACTACTACTTTATATATTTTCGATCATCATCTATATCAAATAGTTATGTAAAGCTAGTTTCATGATATCATATGTGCCATCATTTACATAAATGTTATCATATAGTCGAGTCTTGAAATTAATATTTAATTAAAAAATAGAACTAATAAATTAAAAATATCATCTTACACACAATTAAATATAATGTTATTATTTTTTTTTCAACTAATACGCTAGAGCCCATAATGCTACATTTACATTATAACTTTCAACGTATTTTTAAGTTTTGACACAAGAATCATAGTAAATGATAAAAAGGAAATAATAGTTTTTTTTTTTTTTTTTTTTTTAATTCCTTGGTGCTTTTGGTTTCAATACAACCCCAATCAAATTTTCAATATAAATATTAAGATTAAGAAACTTATTTTGAGAACTAAAAATGTGAGACAAGAGAACAATAGAAGATACATTATTGAAATGGACGGATTATAATAGATAAGGGAAATGCTACAGTCCTGTTACGGAATCATTTCGTCGGAATTTGTAACTGTTAAATCATCATATAATTGTCATAGAAAATTAATCTAACGATTGCAGATCCCGACAAGATGATTCCGTAAAGAAACAATAAATATCCTTATAAAAAAATAGATATATATTAAAATATATATCCATATTAAAATATTTATCCAGGCGAATAATAGTAATAATAAAAAATATAAATAACATAAAATAAATATAACGCGTGAGACCACTGTACAAGTACACAGTTCACCAATCCCACCAAATACAGCCGTCACCAGGTTAGCCGCCAGTATAGACTCACATGTCACTCAATCTAATCTCCACCATCAAAACCCACTCGCTTCCGCCACGCGTCACTCATCCAAACGGTAACCAGAAATCATAAGCCCCACACCCGCAGGTGAAGCTAGCAAAGGCCCACCCAAAAAAACACGTCTTCAAGACAAACACGTCTTTTGAAAGACGTGGGACCTGACCAACCACCGTACGCCACGTCATCACAAGTTCCTTCCCGCACAAAACCCCTCTTTGACCGTCCCCCCAACGGCTAGTTTTCCTCTCCTTAATTATTCTTATCCACATATTATGGTCCTATAATCATTTTACTTTTTTTAATAATTGTATGTTTACATTAATAAATTTAGAGTGTGTTTGTTTTTAGGCTACAATTCGTAAAATTAGCTGATAAGTTAGCTGATAGCTGATAAGCTAGCTTATAGATTTTCAGTATTTTTTAGCTTATAGCTTATAGCTTATGACTTATAGCTGTTAAGTTAGCTTATATGATAATAATGTTTGGTAAAATTAGCTGATAAGCTAGCTGGAATAAAAAATTCAACTAGCTTATTTGAAAGGCTATTTAAGGAAGCTTATCAAATAAGTTCAAGCTTTTTGAAAAAAGCTCGTCCTACCAAACGAGGCTTATTTGAATACATGAAGCTTATAAGCTAACAAAATAAGCTATAAGCTAGCTTATTTGTCTATCAAACATAGCCTTAAATTATTCATACTCAATTTATACTTAAAATATAACTACACATTAATCAATTGTAATATTCTCAATATTATTAATATAATTAAATAATATCAACCAATTATGCTTATATATTTTTTTTTTCAAACTAACTGTGATTTTAATAAAAAAAAATTGCTTTTGAGATCATATTCTATTTTCATATTTCATTTTGTATTTCATTGAGATACCAACATTTAAATCTCACTCATAATCTTATGTAATTTCTTTTTATTTCAGAGGAAAATTCGAGTAGTTTCCATTGAAAACCAGACCTTGATTTCTGAAGAGAAAATATCTGTCCCTTCGAAAACTGCTTTATTATTATTATTATATTACTTAAAGGAGAAAAAAAAAAAGATTACATTTTTAAAATAAATTCATTTAAAAAAAAACAAAAATGTGCTGAAAAAGAAACCCCTGACTTTCATTTATAAAGGCGAGAGCCCATTTAGTCACGCACTCGTGATTATATATATTGGGAAGAATAGTTAAGAAGACCCGTCTTGTTTCGTTCTTCAGCACATCAGATTAGGGCTGTTTTCTGCTCCCAGATTTGGGAATTTAATCGGATTAGGGTTCTTATTTCATCAGATTCTTCAGCCATCTTACTTGTTTCTGCATAAAGATTGCATCTTTAAGAAAAAAAAAATGGCGATTGGGAAAAAATGTAGGTCGAGAGCAAATGGGGAGTACGGTATGGGGCTAGTGAGAAGCTCGTCGTTCGGGAGAAAAAGAGTTGCCCTTTCGAATGTTGTTGTCGGCGGCTCGGATTTTCAGAGCGGCGATTTTGCGGCCACGTCGCCGTCGAAACGACGGTGCCCCGATCAAGATTCAGTCTTTTCAGAAGAACAATCTGTGCTCGAGAATTTGCCTCAAGAAATTCTGGTGGGTCTGCGTTTTTCTTCGTGGGTTTTGCTTTAGAATTGTTGAAGATCTTTTATTTTTAACTGGATTTATTAACAGGAGTTGTGTACTGTTGCTTTTGCATTTGCAGATCAAGGTACTCTGTGGTGTGGAGCATGATGACTTGAAGAGGCTGTTCTTCGTTTCTAAAGCAATTAGAGAAGCTGTAAGCTCTGATTTTGTTTGTGCTTTGGTCGATTATAGTTTTGTTCTGCATTTCTAAAAGTGTCCTGTTTGCTAAAACAATCATTCTTCCCTTTCCTTTGAATCGAAAACAGACGATGATTGCCAAGCAGCACCATTTTGCCTACAGCACTCCAAGAAAGCTGTTTGGGTTTCAATACAACGGGTATTTCGGTGATTTTGACGAGGCCGAGGCCCCGAATGCCCCGAAGCAATCTAGGGTTCCACGGCATAGGTTAACCGCAAAGAAATTATCCGAGATTTCGGTTAAACTATTTGCTTCCGGTGAAGATGATGACGACGATGCGTGTTTTTTGCCGAGGCGGAATTTATGTTTCGAAATGGAGATTGGCAGCTGAATAAATTAGGTTCTTGCTCTTTGTAAAGAATTTGTTGTTTAAGCTGTAGAAAGAAAGATTATTTTGATAGGAAATTTGTGACTGTGTGTGTTTGTTGTTTGTACATGTTGAAGCAAATGTCTTCAAGCATAGTTTCTCTTTTCTTCAACTCTTCCCATTGAAGAACAATTTGGCTTGTCTGTATTTTGTATTAGTACAAATGTAAGAAGTATAGGACTAACGACTTATGTATTTGTTATTAGTTTATCGAGTGGATCGAATAAAATGTAGTCTTGATATGTAATATTTTTTTAATGAAATTTTTTGGTTACCTTTTCGCAATGTCGATTTCCTTTTATGTAACCGTATGTTGGTTTGTTTTCGGCTCGATCTGTTGCAGGGGCTATTGTGCAATTTATTTTGATTATGAGGATGATATGTGAAATGTGTTTCTGATCTCGTTTTCTTGGCTTGTTAAATTAAATGAGTCTGATTTGGCTCGGCTTGAGCTTGACTCGTTAAGGCTTTGAGTTCGGCTCGAGCTTGAGCTGATTTTTGGCTTGGTGATCTTTTCATGTGTTGTTTTGGTAACATCATTTATCTGTGATCAGATTTTTGAGGTAACAAAAACTTATTTCATGTGTTGTTATGGTACATCATTTATATGTGATCAGATTTTGGAGAAAAAAAACAGCCTTGTTTCTTAATTTGATTTTCACTTGTTTTAGTATATAATTAAAAATATGATATAAATTTTTTATTTCACTGGAATAAAATTGAATAAAACTATATACACTTCATTTGTATTATGAAGATAAGATGGGAATAAAGAGATTTTCATGTCATGTTCTTGAAGACTTTATTAGAAAGATTATTTATTTGACAAATGAGTGCAAGGAATTAGCAAAATTCTATACTATATATATTACTCTTACTCAAGCAGTAATTTGGGTAGACTTGGATTGCGCCTAAATTACCGGTTTAATCGTGGGTTAATCTTCACACGCTTTGACTTGATGGTTTAGAACGTATACAATCCGGCCCACCGTCCATTCATTATGACATGAACAATTTGTCTTTGCAATCATGGGCTCGAGTTCATGTTGCTTGGACTCGAGCTTCAGAGTTCAACTCATTTTACTATACGAGACAATAATCGAGATTGGGTTTGTCAACGAATTTGCAACAAAAATGCTCGATAATGTTGCCAAGAGGTTCTCGACAAATAATGCAGTTGTTGAATATTTTCGTTTGCAATTTTTATTTATTTATTTTTTCAACAGATTACCAACGAAAGTCTCGTTTACTAAAAATAATGGGATTAGACATAAATTAAACCCTCTAATTTGCCACATCAGATGATTGATGGATTTATATGTATTTTTTTAGTCTTAAGTGGAAGAAAATCGTACTATGGCGGAGTTAGAGGTGGCTAGGTGCCGGGTTCGGGCCCGGCCCGGCGGGTCGGCGGGCCTCAATTGTTGGGCACGTAACCGGCCCGGCAATTCCTATGGGCGGGTCGACGGGCCTAAATTGTTGGGCCCGTAACCGGCCCGGCCCGGAACCGTAAAAAAAT